TCTTGGCAGCATCGAGACAGGCTTCTCGGACGTCTGCACTGGTATCGCCGAATCCAGCAAGCAATTGAGGCACTAGCTGGATGACGTATGGTTCGAACAAGCGACCGAGGATCAGCGAGAAGAGCTCATATGCCAGGTATACTCCCTGCCTTTGGTTTATGTCCTTTTTGTTCTCGCTAGCTCCTTTGAGGGTGGACATGATTCGATGTTCTTTGAGCAGACCCAGACCCTTACCGCGTACGACACCCGCCAGACCATAGGCAGCACCGCGACGCGAGGCATACTTCTTTGAAGTGAGTAATTGATCCATCATCTGATTGATGTAATTCGACACCTCTTGCTCGGAAGTACGGACCAGCGGTGGCAGACATTGGGCAACGGCGTATTGCACTGTCTCGGAAGGCGTACTGAGAGTTGCCAGCAGTCTCTGTACAACCTTTGGAACGCGCTCATCGCCAGCCGCAAGATGACGACCCAGTGCACCATAAAGGATGATGACTGCTTCGTTGACTTGATCGTACATCTCCGACTTTCGGTCAGGGGCTTCAAGAGCGTTCTCGAATAGTTCCATGAGAGGCTCGACCTTGGTTTGCGCTTTGACGGTGATGACTGAGGTCGCAGCTTCGATCAACTCATCTCTGACCGCGGGACTTCGATCTCCCAAGGGGCCCTCATAGATCAGGAAGTTTAAGAAGTCTACAAGGTCATCGGGCTTGAAACCTGGTGTCATCTCCTTGAAGGCAAGCGCAATACCATCTCTACTCTCCCAAGGGTCGCGAAGATCGACCTTTCGTGGCATGCCGTACTCATCACGCTCCGGAACGCGTGGCTTGGCCTTTTCGGCGTAGGTCTCGCGCAATCTCCGTAGAATGTCGTCAAACGTGTCAGGGAATTTGGTAATGATTTCGCCAATAGCTCGTGCGGTTGCCCTTCTGAGTGGCTTGTCGAGAGAGTCCAGGTAAGGCAGCATCTGGACGCCAGCATCTGCTTTGAGTTCTAAATCGTTCTCGTCCCAGATTGTTCGGGCCAGCTCAGCGTTCTCAGACTCATCGTCATGGCAAGCAATGAAGATCTCTTCACTGAAGGTCAGGTCGTTCATGTCGAGTTCAGCGTCAATGGCTTGCAAAACCGCGGTTCGGACGCCAGTCTCCGGCACGATGGTACCACGCAGCAAGGCGCCCAGCTCATCATTGGTAATGTTCGGGGCCAGTCCGCTAGCGAGATTGGTTACGCAATCCTTGATTATCTTGTAATGCTGCTGGTATTTCTGCATGGACCATACCAGAATCTCCAGTAAAGCTTTGCGGGGGAGACGAGGGTCAGTGCCTTTCGAAAGTGTTAGCAAGGTATCAGTGTCCGTGCTTTAAGAACTCACAGGAGTTGGTGTGGAAAGTCAACACTTCGATAGCCAGGATCAGCTGCTCGTCAGCTTCTTCGGGCGCAGACTTGCCAATACCACCCTTTTCTAGTACAAGGAAAAGCAGAGGGAAGCAGTACGCTAAGGATACCGCATCGAGTGGCCTCTGTTCGCTCAAGAACCGGAGACGGTAGAGGACGCGTGTTACCAGATCTAAGATTATCAGTAAGGTCCAAAGCTGAACTATCGGTTGAAGTGTACTAACCACCAAGATCCTCGTCTTCATACTCGCTAGCAAGCTGTATAGAACCGATCGTTCGCAGTACTGCTACACCAATAAATGGTCGCATCATGCCTAGACGGTTGGATACGCGCTCGGAGCACGAGATCAAAGCAGTCGCTGGAACGTCTCCCAGCAGAAGACCAGCACCAGCACGAATGGCTTGGATCAAGAGATCCACGGCAGGTCCCATCCATTGCTCCGCCTCTGTCGGAGGTCCAGTAGCGAGACTCCGGATGATGCCTACACCTCGCCTCATCCTATGCTCTGTGCCAGTCACTTCCTTCCTGATAGCTGACTCTTTAGCCAGCTGGGCGTTGACCTTGGCCTGGTCGTCTGCGCTCAGCTTCTTGGCTTGGCCCTTCTTTTGTGCAAGCTGTGCTCGTAGCTCTTCCTCCCACTTCAGGGTATCGTAGTCCTTCGTGTTCTTGTCGATCACCACAGGTGCTTTCTTCGAAAGAACGTCGATATACGCTGTGCCCTCTGGTGTACGGAAGATGGCTGCTTCGGTCGGTCCTACAGATTCCATCTGCTTTGGGTCGAGGTCTTCACTGAACTGCTTGACCACTGCCGGCAAAGCTGCCTCTGGCGCCACGAAAGCCATGTCGGTATAAGCGCTGTAGGCTGCTGCATCAATAGCGGGTAGTTTCTCATTGTCTTTGTTCTGTGTCGGACGTTAGCAATAGTTTCTCGAAAAGGTTGATGGTTGAGCAATAATACCTCAGTTGCTTCGTTAATAGTGCTCACAAAGTCTTGCAAGTTATCTCGAACGACCTGGCCAGGATCTACACCCATGCGAAGGCATAGGTCAATCCAAGACACTCTTGGCATGATCTCTTTTCTTGCCAATACAACGAGACGCATGGCCTGCTTTTGCAGAGCCACAGTGTCCACGTTTGCGTTCTCTTTCTTCACTGTCTCTGCAGGCAGACATATGCAGCTCAAAACAGCGCCAAGCTCAGCTGAACCTGCTTTGGATGCGAACGCAGCGCTCTCCTTATCTTCTTGTTCACTTGACCTGTACCACGACCACAATCCTTCTATTATGATATTGCTAATCTTTTCGGGCGAGGTTTGAAGATACGCTTGTGTCAAAGCTTGCTTAGCAGCCGCCTTCGCCTTGGCGGAGACGCTGGGAGCGACGATGAGGAAGATGAACGCCTGTGCCCATGCATCTGCGACTTCTTTGGAAGCTTGTGTGACGTCTGGCGCAATGGCCTTCAAGGCGCGTAGAGCAATGGAAACGTCCTCTTCTGAAGACAATTTCGAATAGACTTTGGGGTTGAGAAGGATGGAAGGCTTTGGTTGGGTGGCGAGCGATTGCGAGATGACATCAGATTTCTTATAGATGGATCCCAACTTCTCGTCCTTCATGTTCTGTACTCTATCGATGAGGAGCGCGACAGTGTAGTGTCCTACCGTGACCAAACCACTCTGAGTCGCAGGCAGCGGGTTTGCATTGACCTCCTGCCAGATCTCAATGAGCTTCGGCAAGATTGTTTGGCAGAATGCAAGTACGTCGGGTTGAGCTTGCTGTTCATCGGAGAGATTCCACCAAAGGTCTGCTGCGCGGATTGCCCAAAGCTTCTTGACGGGTACGCGTTTATCGGCCATACCCTTGATGAAGGCATCTGAGACGGCCTTGTCAAGAGCAACTCCGTTCGCTAGGCCGAAGTTTAGGTGTGTTGTTATTGCGGACACTTCAGCTACGACAGCCGGCTCACTCGGCTCTTTCAAGGCTACTGGAGCGATACCTGCTGGGATTTTCTTTGCCAGGGCTATCGACTCTGGCAGCGCCGAGAGCATCTGAGCATGAAGGACCTTCTGGTCAGCACCGGAAACTTTGCCTTGCTTTAAAGGAGTAAGCACTTCGTCTGCGACCTTGTCAATCTTGGCATCATCTTTTGATCGCGAAGCCAATGCTTTGAAGGTTCGCAAAGCGCCTGCGCGGATGGCTGCGTTGCTTGATTTGACGTTGGAAAGCAGCGGCTTCAGCATGTTTCCTAGCAGAATATCGGAGAGATCCATAGACTCGGGGAGGGCCAAGAACATGGGTGAGACGATGTCGTTGAGTACTACTTCGGGTGCTCTCAGTAAGGCCTTTTCAATGGGTGGTATGACATCCTTTCGCAGCTCCTCCAGAGTAGGGAAGCTGTCGAAGAAATCGTGCAACGCATTGGAGATGTGGTCCGGCAGCTGGCTCCTTGATCCGACAATCTCTCGTGTGTAGTAGGTGTAGTAGTCTTGTTTGCGGCCTTCGAGCAGCGGCTTGACGGTCGGTAGACGAGATGAGACGCCAGCGATGACGCCGAGGAATACAGCATTTCCAGCTGTGGGCGCGCTGCCCTTTGCGGTGAGGTTCGTGACGAGTTTGTCGAGGGCATCGTTGCCAATTGCCTCGGAGCGGAAGATGGCGCGCAGGGCCCGGCGCGTCGAAACGAGGGCCGCTATGGAGAGGCGGCCAGCTCGCCGGTCGCCCCCAGCGCTCACGCACGTCTCGAGGACGCGCGCATTTGCCAGCGCCACATCCAGGCCGAGCTTGGCCCACCGTTCAGGCGACTTTGCAAACTGCAGCAGCAGCACGGAACACCAGTCGTTGAGCACAAAGGCATTGGCGTGCGCGATGGCCTTCTTGGAGCATTCCTGCGTCAAGAATTTGACAACCGGCGGCAGTACCTTGTCGCCATGGGGTCCGTTTACCAGCGACTTGAGGACGCCTTCGACGGCGCGGCGTGATTCGCGGTCGTCGTATAGCGGATATGTTTCGAAGAGGAGTTCGAGCAGCGCTTGGAGGTCGGCAGTGACGAGGGCTACAGGAAGAGTGTTGAGTCAGCCATCGTTCGCTTCCACGTGCAGTCCCCAGAGACACCTACAGTCGTCTGCGACCTTGGTCTGCAGCCCCGAGAGCTCGTTGACTCGGCGCTTGGTGGAGCTTGTTATGAGCTTCGGCCGCAGCTCGTCGCGGTGGATTGCCCGCGACTCAGCGTCCCCATTCACAGCCATGTCTTCCAGTCCACATGTGAAGGCGGGTGCGGGGTGTTGGCGGGGTTGCGTGTCGGCGTCGATATCGCGAAATGATGCGCCAAGAGTTCTCGTTTATTTGCTAGGGCAATGACATCGCCTCGCTCCTGCCTCCACAAGGTGTGGAGCGCCCTTCCACCACCAAACCCACTGGCCTGCGCCCTCGACCACCACCGACCGCCCCTCTTGGAACCGTTGCGCCCTATGCGTCCAATAAACTACGACAACTCGCCCAATCTTGATCTCGCTAGGGATCAAGCCCCGATATACTCTATACGGAAGCCCGCCTGAGACCCCTGCACCTCACATTACCACCACTCAACCAAACTAAGAGTTTTTGCCATGGCGAAGAAAAAGAAGCCCGCCGGCAACCCCGCACGTGGATTTGCAACGACTTCCGTCGCCAGCAAACCAAAGCCTGAGAGAATTTCCCCAGACGTCCCCGCCAAGGTAGTCGCCCCGGTGCCGTCAAAGGAAGCCGCGCCTGCACCAGAACCCACGGAGGTGCTCCAGACGTCCCAGCAGACCGAGGCGGTCAAGCCAGACGTCGCGCCCACTCCAGAGGAACTGGAAGCCCAACTAGAGCGTGATGAACTTCAGCTGCTTGTTGAGAAGCATGCGCCCAAGGTCCGCCGCGAATCTAGTCGACATGTCTCAAAATTCCAGACAGACCGTAGGCTCCTCCGCGGCCAGTCGCACGCCATGACTGTGCACGACTGGCTTCCCAGCGAAATCTTGGATAGCATTATCCTCCTCGCCCAGGCCGAGTCGAATGACTCAAATAGGAGACAAGGGCAACAGTCCCTGCTTAAAACCCTGACCGAAGAGGATGCCATGTCTAAACTCTGGACCCTTGATCTTACCCTACGTGAGCTAGGCTTCTCGCAAGACCAAATCCAGCCGGTTCTGAGATGGCTGTGTGCCAACGCCGCCGGTGTCGATGCATCCTCCGGTGTATGGGGGCTCCAAGAAGCGCTGGAATGGCTTGCATTGGACCAATGCGAGGATCACTCCTTTTCGTACGAAGAATCGCAGCCTAAGCGTTCAACACTCGAAGATATTGACACTTCTCGGCCAACCACACCGCCGCCCCAGCCATCAGCGAACGGAGCAACCGCAACTGGACCCTCACCTTCCGCAGCACTCAATGCCTCGGTCCCGGCGAATTCTGATGACTCTAACATTGACGTCAGTGACCTTGATAGCGACCTAGAACTCGATGAGCTCATTCCAGCGTATCTGAAGATCAAGGGCAAACTATTCGAAATCGATCCTCAACTAGTCGATGCTCCTGCACGAAAGTCGCAAAAAGGTGGAAAATCTAAAAAGTCGGCGCCTCCGCCACCTCAGACTCCGGCTGTTCGGAAGTTGCTTTCTCAGTTGCAACAACTGACCTCCGATGCCCTCTTTGACGAAGACCAAGCTGAAGCACAGTGGCCCGCGAAGCGTAACCAAATCGCACAAAGTCAAGCCGAAAAGAGGCAACGTCAGGACGCACAGCCCAGTGATTCGCCCGTGCAGACCAAAGACACCTCCCTCGACACTCCCGTGTCGGCCAAGGCTGAAGCTACTGCCGCATCGTCGAAACCTCCAAGCGAGCACGAAGGCGAAGAGGATGCTGATCTGCTCGGAGGCATGTTTTCCGCAGTGCCTGACGCAACGCCTGCCCCAGAGAGTACATCCAATGGTTCAAGTGCTGACAATATAACCCTGCGCGACTTTGGCAAGATGAGCGGAATGTCCCCCCGCAAAGTGCTCGAAGAGGCAGTTCGATCAAGGTAGGTCATTCGACTACTTCTTCCGATAATCACTAACAGATCCAGGGATGCTGGTGCACGGTTGACTTATAAGATGATCTCGCCTACTACGTATACGTGCCGGCACTCGCTGACAATCTTCTGGTCTAAGGAACAAGACTTCGAGTACGACACGGAAATTTCCGGTGTGGTCTGTACTCCGTACAGAAAGCAGGTCACGCTGGCAGCGAACGAAATCGCTGCCGTATCCGTTGAGCAGAGTGAAAGCTTCATCTCTGTCGCCGCCCTCTTCTCGATATCTGCCTCCCTGCTAAAGGAGGAAAAGGTATATCTGCGCCTTCCGGCCAACTGGAGGGAGGTCTACAGGGAGTTCTTGGAGCGACGAAAGACACGTCTAGATGCAGCAGATCGTGATGCTATCAAACACTATCGCTCAATCATAGAAGATCAGATCGAGAACGAAGAGTCGGACGGTGTTGTGCTTACGAATCGCTTCAAGGCGCGCAATCAGGCCGCGACAAGCTCTAGCACATCTAACTCTGGCTATAGCACACCGGTACGGCACTACGACGGTCTGAGAGAGCAATGGTTCGCCAAAGCATCAACCCCATCATACCAGCGCATGCTCGTTGGTCGAATGAACCTCCCAGTCTTCAACTTTAGGGATGAGATTTTATCCACTGTGGACAAGAACCAGGTCACCATAATCTGCGGTGAGACTGGCTGCGGAAAGAGTACGCAAATTCCCGCCTTCGTCCTCGAGCACGAGCTATCGCAAGGCAAGGCATGCAAAGTCTACTGCACCGAGCCCCGACGTATCTCGGCGATTTCGCTTGCCCAACGTGTGAGCGAGGAACTAGGCGAAGGACCCAAAGATCTAGGATCCATACGTTCACTTGTCGGTTACGCAATTCGGCTTGAGTCAAAGACTTCCTCCCAGACTCGCTTGGTGTACGCGACGGTGGGTGTGGTATTACGAATGCTAGAGTCATCTGGAGGATTGCAAGAGGTCACACATCTGGTCATTGATGAGGTTCACGAAAGATCCATCGACACAGATTTCCTTCTGGTCATACTTCGGTCACTCATGGAACGCCGACCTGAACTTAAGGTCATATTAATGAGTGCCACGGTAGATGCCGCACGCTTCTCAAGGTACCTGAACGACGCACCGATCCTGACAGTACCAGGTCGCACCTTCCCGGTTCAGACTCGATACCTGGAGGATGCGGTCGAGTTGACTCATTACGCTGGAGCATCCGACGCGACCAAAGCTGCCGCCACGAGCGACAACGACGAGGATGACGGTATTACGAGCGATAAATCCGGTATTCCCAACAAGCTTCCAGGTTACAGCCAATTAACACGCGATGTGCTTTCTAACTACGTCGAGTATGCCATTGATTACGACCTGATCACACGATTGATCGAGACGGTCGCGTTTGATCCGCAGCTGAGTCGCTTCAGTAGCGCTATCTTGGTTTTCCTCCCGGGACTTGCTGAGATTCGTCAACTCAACGATATACTGGCCAGTCATCCCTCTTTCAAGGCTGACTGGTATGTGTACCCGCTACACTCCACCATTTCGAGTGAGGATCAGCAAGCTGCGTTCCTTGTTCCACCTCCGGGCGTACGCAAGATCGTGCTCGCTACTAACATCGCCGAAACCGGAGTCACGATCCCGGACATCACCTGTGTTGTTGACACCGGTAAGCACAAGGAGATGAGGTTTGACGAGCGCAGACAGCTGTCACGTCTGACTCAGTCCTTCATCTCAAGAGCGAACGCTAAACAACGCCGTGGTCGTGCCGGCCGTGTGCAAGAGGGCCTGTGCTTCCATCTCTTCACGAAATACCGCCACGACAGCCTCATGGCAGAACAGCAAACCCCTGAGATGCTCAGACTTTCGCTCCAAGATTTGGTCATGCGCGTGAAGATTTGCAAGCTTGGTGATATCGAAGCCACTCTTGCTCAGGCACTCGACCCACCCTCCTCCAGGAACATCCGTCGCGCTATTGATGCCCTTGTAGAGGTCGACGCGTTAACGCCGAGCGAAGAACTGACACCTCTTGGTCGCCAGATTGCGAAACTTCCGTTGGACGCGCACTTGGGCAAGCTTGTACTGCTTGCAAGTACGTTCGCATGTGTTGATGTTGCTATTACCATTGCTGCTATCGTATCTTCGAAGTCTCCGTTCTTGACACCATTTCAACAAAAGCAAAGAGCTGACATCGCTCGTCTTGCGTTCAAAAAAGGCGACTCCGACCTCCTCACAACTTACAACGCCTACAGGGCTTGGAAAGCAGTATGCACTACCCCGGGACGATCTGAGATGCAGTTCTGCCACAAGAACTTCCTCAGTCCGCAAAACCTGGGCAACATCGAGGACCTCAAAGCACAGCTCTTCTCCTCATTGGTTGAGGCCGGGTTCATACAACTTACGCCCGACGAGCGTCGCGCGATAGGCCGCTACCGGAATACGACACGCCATCGTGTCTTCGTTGAGGTGCCAGCACAATACGACATTCACACCGACAACGACGTTCTAGTCAACTCGGTCATCGCCACAGCATTCTACCCCAAGATCCTGACCCGCGAAGGCAAGGGCTGGCGCAACATCTCCAACAACCAAACCGTCAGCCTCGGACCAACCTCCGTCAACAAAGGCTCGCGAACAGCCGACTTCCTATCCTACTACAACATCATGCAATCCAGCAACAAGTTCTACAACGCGCACTCGACCTCAATCGCCTACCCACTTCCCATGGTACTCATGGTCGCTGCCGATATGGACTTCAAGCTCCATGCAGGCGTGATCAGTCTACCCGGTAATGTCATCCGCTTCGCAGTTCGTGAATGGCGGGCTGCTGTCGCGCTGAAGGTCTTGAGACGCCGTATCAAGGAGATACTGGCGAATAGCTGGAAGAACCCTGCGCGTCAGCTGAGCGATCGCGAGAAGGAGTGGCTTGGCTTGTTCTATAGGATGTTTGAGGAGAGGTTTGAGAAGGACGAGAGGATTAGGGAGAGGGCTGGTGGGAAGGCGAAGTGAGGATTGGGTTTGGTTGGAATATGTTAGATGGATCACTTGTAGATGTGGATTGTGTTGGTGTTGTGTGTGTTGGTGCTAAGCTATTGCTTGCATCACTATGACATAAAGTTACAACGAATACAAGATCTCTCTAAGCCGCTTACAGCCCTCAATCATCGTTTTCTTCCTCTCCTCTACCCGCCGTCTAAATATAGCATCTCCGAGTAAAAGCCAAATGGTCCCCCATGTAACAGGCGCTGCTGCATACTCCGCTAGACCGCGGAAAAGAGTTTTAAAAAACCCACGACGGCCCAAATGGAAGTTTCGTGGGTTCCACTATCATGAAAACGAACCCATGCCTGGGGGCGCAGAGTGACGCTTTGATTACGTGGAATAGCTGCTCCAAGTCGGTGGGTATGGCGCTCAAACAGCAGTTGTGGGCTTGGAGTAGTACCGTGTCGTACCCTGGGTTATAGATAGCCATCGATCCGCGGGATTGTAGTTCGACTGCATTGCCCAAGCGGCATTCGTGGGGGTTGTGTACGTTGGCGTTACGCACGATGTTGTTCATAGACATTGAGCCGCGCGAATGTAATCTTTTAAGCGCGTCATCCGTGAATACTTGATGTAGGGGCTGCATGCGGAGGGCTTCGTTGCGGAATAGACGACTGGTGTGGTATACAGCAGGGAGTTTGGGTAGCCGTACTGTTGCGCGAGGAGCGGTGGATACTGAGGCGTCGCTGATATCGTTTGTTTTGCAGGATGATGGTGCGTGAAGGTGCAGTACCAGTTCATCGTTACGCTGCGCCATATCCTCATCTAGAGTGTAGTTGATGATCATGACTTGAAGCTCTGATGAGAGATCGGGGAAGCAGGTGAAGGTAGTTGGGGTGATCATTTTTGCTTGTTGCGAAATCTTTTGTGCGGCTTGGGTGTAAGTTGATTGGGATTCAATCTATCCAAGTGTATTTCATGCGTAGTTCGTGTGTACTTCGAGCGTGGTTCATGTGTGGGGGTCTTTCTTTTGTGTTTATGTATGTTTCATGTGTAGTATGTGTAGCTTATGTGTGTGTTGAGTGTGATAGAAGAACTTTGCAGGAATATGAGAAAAAGGCTTCCTTTTATACTCTTTTACTGCCTTACGCTTGACTCAAAGCAGATTTAGGCACTACTGTTCATACCATGGTTGAACGGATTGGTTGTGGGATTGCGTCGCTACCGCCTTCTCACGTCTTCTGACTCATACATAAGCCAGTGATAAACTCAGTATTTCCTCTTATATACCACATCAATGAATTTTTGGTTGAGACTGTCGGATATGGGCGCGATACTGCGGCAACAGCCCAAATGTTATATGAGTCAAATTGGATCCACTTGATCCATTGGCACCATTTTGACGCAGAGCAATGAGCCACTCACAAGTTCCGCATTACATGAATTCCTCTATATACAAAAAGATACTCTCGGGATGGAGCGGCCACCGAGCGCTAGCGGCCAGCCAATTCAGAGCGACCACTTCAAACCATCCCTAGCCACAGCAACCTCTCCCTCCTTCGGAAAGACAACATCACCCTTCCTCGATAACGAACCCATATTACCCTCATTACCGCCCAAAAACTCCAAAGGAATGAAGAAATGCTTCTTCACCAATTCCTTGACATCGTCTCCACGAGTCAATGACAAGCTCGCGAGATCAATCGAGCAGACCCAAAGATGATGGTCGAGAAAAACAATACTATGCTCGAACGTGCCCAGAAAATGCTTGATGATGGCGGAAGAAAGAAGAAGAGTGGGTTCCGTACTTGCGCCTTCGCTTTGAGATTCGATGGCGTCGGCCCGCCAGACTGCGAGACGTTCCGTTGCTTTTGAACCGAGTTTGTGCGCGAACTCGGCGACGAGATTGGAGCCTGAAATGTCGGTAGCAAGGGCCTTGAGGGTGAGATCGGTTCCAGTGAGGACTGATGTGCCGATGTCGATTTTGCGCGGAGGACCCGTGGTAGCTAGTTCGTCCAGCGTCTCCCAGCTAAATCGGCGGATAGTCTCATCCACAACCAGAATGAGTGTGTCTGGTATTCTGATGGAGGACATCCATTTCCATATAGATCTAGGCGAAGATTCTAGAACCTTCATTTGCTGAAAGCCGTTGTTGGCGCTTCGTACCCATAATTGGTCGGCGGTGGCAGTCGAAATAAGAAGCCTATCACCCGCTTCGTTCAGTAGGAGCTGTTGGGCTGGCTCTTCGAAGCGAGTTTTCATCAGCTTCTCGGTTACTTTCAGTTGGTCGTCCTGCCCACCCTCCAATGCATAAGCCATAACCTCGTTGCTCGCATCTTGAGTGACGACCACGTCGCCAGCGCTGACTGCAATCATCTTCACAAAGATATCTTGCTGGTGAGAGTACGCCACACTTTGTAGCTCTCCTGAACGTCCCGAGTAGAAGTTCACTGAGCCATCATCTTTGCCTACAAGGATGACATCGCGAGTTGGGTGAACACAAGTGGCTGTGATTGGCACGATGTCCTCCTCCCCTTCACCGACTACCAGCGCGGGCAAGGTCACGGATTCGCTGATGCTTGAGTCCTCTTCGCCAGCTTTACGAATGAGGACGGCGGGCTCCCAGACTTTGGTTTTGCGATCGCGTAGCTCGATGATGCGAGTTCCACACGCTGTAAACGACAAGGCTTTTCCTAGAGTTTCTCTCGTATTGATCTGGCATAGTAATGTGAGAGTTTCGAAATCCCACAGTCCGAGCACACCCCAGCTGGATCCTGTTGCAAGCGTGCGACCGTCCGGCGAACAAGCCATGTAATGACAGTCTTGCTGGACAGCCTTGACAGCTCGCTGGCTCCAGGTTTCGTATAGCACCATGTTGCCGTTCTGGAAAGTCACTACTACCAAATCAACGGCAGGATTGGAGTTGAAGATGACACGTTGTGGGGAAGAGTTGCTGATCATTGCTGAGGAGTCAGCTTCTCCTCCGCAAGCGCCCAATAAGCGATCGTTGTCCAAGCTCCAGAGAAGTACGGCTTTACCTCGGTAGGCGAATGCTACCATCTTACAGTCTGGAGAGATAGCGATATCTAGTGGTGCCTGCCGGCTAAGGAAAGACTGATCGCGAAGTGTGCTTCCGTCGTCGCAGCCTAGTGTAATGATATGACTGCTTCTAGTTGCTACTAGCAAGAAGCTGTCGTCGGGCGCGAACTGAAGTAGAGCAGGGCTGTCTTTGATGTTGTAGCTCCATACTAGCATCTCGCTGTTGAGATCCCAGAGACGAACCATGTGGGCACCTGCGGAGGCGAGTCGATGGCTGTTGTCGAAGCGCAGAACCTTCGCTGATTCTCCGTGGTTGAGTGACATTCTCTCCTGGCAGGTACCCTGCCAGTAGAGAAATATTTGTCCAGATTTAGTACCGATGGCGAACGAATAGTCACCAGCAGCAACAGACATTGCGCGGTTCTGGCGGAAATCCATGTAGGATATAGAGTCCTCCCAAGCACTTTTCCCTACCCCAGCGATGGTCAGACCACTGTGAGAGTCTGCGAATTGCTGATGAATGGCGGAGTCTCGTGGACATAACGGCGTCACTAGATAGTAGATTGAGTCCGGGTTGTCTAGCAAATTACGCCCAAATTTAGCAGCAAGTCGCACTAGGTCTGTCGCCCATTGATTGACGTATCGATATGCTTCACCAAGCGGCGGTGTATGTTTGGCCCTACGGCCAAGATATCGCTGCAGGTTCTTAGCCGTTCTTGTCAAATGGTAAAGGTTCTTCTTGCTCTTCGCGATGTACTCAATCCACGTCAAGACGTTAGATCTCAGGAACTTTTCGAGTGCTGCAAAGAGAGCAGTGTCGGAAGACGATGCCATCGCCAGATGTTCGGAAAACGAAACACATGCGTACTCGGCAATGGGACTCTTAGCACCCCGTGAGATGCTGATAATGGTCCTGTTGCGAGGCGACCGCATCTCTTCACCACATAAGTAGTTGAGGCAGGTAAGTGCCAGGCGTTTATTTCCTTCTTCCTTGGATATCGCAAACTCGGAATCCAAGGACCCATCAGTGAGAAACGTACGCGTCGTCATGTGCAACACTTGCACGTATCCAGTTTTGTCGACATGGAGAAGCTGGCCGCAGAGACCCTGGACAGACTTCTCCAGGCTTCGCACGCTCATACCCTCGTCTATCTTGACAGCATTGGTGAGTTCGGAAGTATGGAGAGGGCGTACCGCACAAATGGCCCAAGCGAGGAGTGTTTTGGCGAGGCGTGTTTCACGTACGCTTCGTGACATTTCGCCAAGGATCCGTTCGTACAGAAGACTCATCTCGATAGGTAGTTCTTCGATAACCTCTTCAACTTGCTCTTCGCTGTATATTGATTGAAGCTCTTGTAACACCAAGCGTGCCCACAGGAAACAGCCAGCCGATTTGGTCACTAGCTTCTCTACAAGATGTCGCCTGTCGGCTTCTTCTTCAACTGGGAGCTGGTCCATGTTCTGTTCGAAGAACAGTCTGATGTCGTGCGTTGTATCTTCTACAGGAATAGTATCGGTCACGCCTCGACGACCGAGACGGGCGAATTGTCGTTCGAAATCAGGCCAAGGCCCTCTGCTGGTGATAAGTATCTGGAGATCGTATCTACACTCTATCCGCGAAAGTAATGGGAATAGCTTCATTGGGTCGATGCATTCATCCAAAGCATCAACAACCCAATATTGCGGCCTTCCGAGATTGAGCTTGAACACAGACCCAACGAACAGTTTCCTCCAGACAACCCTCTCGTCATCTTTATCGAAAGCTAGACTGTGCTCTTGCAGATCGTACAGCTCCTTGCGAACCGTCGGGTGTATGAAGGCCATCTGAAGTGCCATAGATCGTAGCATTGCGCTCAAAGTGTTTCTTCCCTTTTGTCCGTGTTTAAAGAAGTAGTAGCTACAATCCCGACCCTCGGCTTGGAGTTTCGTGATGACATGGCCCGCTAACACGGTTTTGCCGGTTGCTGGTTGGGCGGAAATCCAGTACAAAGGCACTGATGGCGAAGGCGTTCCAAACCATGACTGGAAGCCATCACGCTTCTCGATCCAAGAGCAAGACCCCGAGACTTGATTGTCCTGCTCATTGTTGAGCTCATCGATAGGCCTATCCATCACATCGAGGTAAGTTTGTAGAGCTGAGATTTGAGCACGCTCTTCGTCATCATTCCTGGCTAATGTATCGCCAAGTATATCCTCCACGATACTTGCTAGGGCATTTTTCACTTTGATGTAGTTTGAGTCGTACACGCTGTCGAATTTGCAAACCGTTCGATGGTCGGCGTTGAGCGGTTGTATGCGTTCGTGCTTGAGGCCAATGGAGGCGGAGTCTTTCTCAACAATCAACGCGGATTGAACCCCAAGGTTTAGTTTGAGGGTCTCGTAGAAAGATAGGAGACGGACCTCATCCGCATAATGTCTGAAGTCATCGTTGATGATGTCAAGCCCAAGGGAGTTCTTCTCAAGGTCGGCGAGAAATGGTTTTGCGTTGAACATACCGGCAGCTCGAAGCATGTTACTGAGCACCGATGCTAGTCCAGCACCTCGATGTGGTGTCGCGAGAAAGACGAGGCATTGAACGCGAGCAGCAAGCGCTTGGGTCGCAGCATCTCTCCGAGCAAGTATGTAGGCTTTTTTTATCACTAGATGTGAAACAAATCAGCTGAATGCTCAAATGCGGCCAGATTAGTTCATCAAAGGCTCGATTTACCTAAGCCGCCCATACTATGTCCGATAAGTATTATAGGTAGGTTCTGCTGCGTTCTCAGATGTGGATTGGTGGCCATCTCCCCCAGAAGATCTTTCCCAAAGTCATGAACGCTCAATATGCTCTCTTTTCGCTCGCCCCAGTCGCTGTTGTAGCCGAAGGTATGGATGCGCACATGTTGCAGATCTGGTTCTTGTGGTAGCCATGCTTGTGGCCAGAAGTTGTCGTCGTCTTCGCCCTTCGTCCAAGTCTTTACAGACCCGCCTCGCAAGCCGTGGACGAAGATCAGATCGACACGAGGCTCTGGTGGCTCATGTAGAAGAGTAAGTCCGTAAGGGCCAAATGGACTGGTCGGAAATGTCGTGTCCTCTGGGGATTTCGTACGCGTCAACAGACTGAAGGATCTTCGAACAGAATAGCCGTTTCTGCTGGTGATTCGTGACAAGGCTGTACTCGAGCGGCGCCTGTCATTCGTTTGGGGGCCGTCTTGCGGGGTAGCCTATAAGCGAATCAGCCTCTACTACCAACAGCGAAGGTGCTAGATCATCGTACATCGTCCGCCATCTTCCATATCTCAAGCGCAGAAGTTAGACAGTAGGCGCTTACTGCTAGGAAGGTGAAGCGCAAAGGCTGAACATTCGTGGGGCACGTGCGAGCGGCACGTCGCATTCCTCAATGATTGCGGCAGTGGCATGACGCACCAGATCGGGTGTATCGCCCGCGATGGCGCCAAATGATTGGCCTTAGATGGATGAGCTCACCCATCCGATGCAGTCATGTCGTGCGTCCCGAATCCTTTGGGTGTGTTCAGCCTTGGAGGCACAGCAAACCCCGCAGTTGCAGTGCGGCGGTTGATATATGAACTGAGCCGCGTCTGCCAGCGTGTTTTGTCGTAGCTCCGCAGCTCTGTCAACAATATGGTGAAGATTGACGACGATTTTACACAGGCTGTCTTGAAAGATGAGGATAAGTATGAAGGAAAAGACCTCGATGCCAACATCGCCGCAGGTATACTCCATCGGCCGACTGGCATATCCTTGCAACCTGATAATGTACTGATCCAATTTTCCAGCTCTTCCAGAAGGCGCAGAGATAGAATGGGTTTGCACACATGGGGCGACGCATTGGTCTGTGTCAACTAAAATCGATACTAGAGTCGATGGGAAACCGACCTCGTTCTTCCTGAAGGAGTATCGGGACGCGAATGCAAAAGACATGGTGAGAGCGGAATACGAGTCCACAGCCGCTCTACACGAAATGGCCCCTCAGAACGTGCCGCGACCGTTAGCCTACGGATCGTTCGCATCGGATCCAGAGAGATTCTTCTACATTCAAGCCTTCTGTGACATGAACGACGAATTGCCTGATGTCGATGAGTTCGTCGCTATACTGGCGAAGATACATCAGAAGAAGTCACCGACTGGGAAATTTGGTTTCCACATTACCAGTGCGTGTTTCCGAAACGGATCACATTGAGATTGGTGACGCTAATTTTCGAGACAGCTTTCCAGGGAAATATTCCGAACCACAACGAGTGGTGTGACACCTGGGAAGAGTACTTCACTCGCAACCTGATTTCCATAATCGATCTGGAGCGACAAATCCATGGCGAAGACCCGGAAATGGATGCGCTATCTTCCGATATAGTGAAGAAGGTAGTGCCCCGACTCCTTCGTCCGCTTGAGACCGGAGGCAACAAGATCGAGCCAGTCTTGATGCATGGTGATATGTGGCATGGCAATGTCAGTGTTGACAACGAGACGGACGAACCGATCCTATACGACGCGGGGAGCTTTTATGGACATAACGAATACGAAGCAAATCCGTGGCGCGCGACGCGGTACCAGTTCAATCGTACGCATTTGCGCGCATACCATAAGCTCGTGCCTGTCTCGAAGCCAGCAGAAGACCATGACGACAGGAACGCCCTCTACGCAGTGTACGCATGGTCCATTTTCTTACGGTTGCAAGCGCTAACGAATCAGTCGATGTGACCTGATGGTGTCGTGTTGCTGGAAGCAGACAAAGATTACTCGGCAGTTGTAAGTCGTGCCACCATCGGTGGCTTGTTGAGCTCCGACTGACCGAATGTAGGGCGATTGAGGGGATGCGGCGCCTGATCGCGAAGTTCCCAGATGGATACGAGGGCTACGTCGCCACGAATGAGGCGAGGGGTAAACGCGATTCTGGGAAATTCGCCGAGGACGTATAGAGAAGAGGTCATGAGCCTACTTTTGCCCAGTCATGCGCGCAGTGTCTTGCGTACGTAAGGTGTTTTTCTCACGGGCTTGCCGTTCATTGCGCCATGCCATACCTCTTATTCGAATGAAAATTGTTGCAACAACACTCAGTATCCCGGAAGTTGCAGCCAGAGCCGTGAAGAACCAGCCCTCACCCATAACGTCTAGCAGAGGCTGCATGGCAGCAACTGCTGCTGCTGAAAGAGCGCACCGAGTGATGTTACCTGCTGCAGCGGCGGTGCTTGTGTTCTGCGGAGAAATGTCCACGATAAGAGTGTTGTGCGTCTGGAAACTTGTTAATATTGATGACAGTTGTACAGTGTGGCAACACCTACCTGACATATGCATGTAGCAAGGAATCCATGAAGAAATAGGAATACTAACGGTACGCTTATATGCTGCATGGTCGTCAGTTTTTTGGGTGTGTGGACAGTGCGAACGGCCTACAATTTCTTTGCGCAAGACCCATCCATAACCCACTATGACTGCAGTAGATGTCGGAATGAGAAGCCACGATAACCGAGAGCGCGCTTTCTCTATTGGAAATTTGACCAGATCGTCGCCAGCAACCTTGTCGACGGTTATGTTGTTCGCCTTCGCCGTGGAGCGATAGTTGTAGTCCATTAGCTTACCATTGATATAACCACCAAGGATGACCCCAGTCCCTATGGAAAAGTAACATAAACCGACTTGAAGCTCATCGAGACCGTACATTTCCGTGAAGATGGCTGGGATAGAGGCTTGAATGCAATAGTAAGCAGCGTAGTAGACGGCACTAATGGAAAGAACCGCAGCAGTGTCCCTGTGGAAACAGACTAGCAGGGCCTTGAAGGGGTTAGGTATGAGGCTTCTCTTATTCCAAGCCCTCGGTTCGTTGGGTGTTGTCAACTGTCGCTGCCGGCTTGACTGCAACAAAGGTTTATTCCATTTGGGTGCTGCAATACTGCCGTTTCCCACGACGTTGCGCCCAGTCTCAGGGAAGACGAGGCTTAGAACGGCCAGAAAGGCAGCTCCAATAATGACTAGCAACCAGAACACCCATCTGTATCCAGTTCTTGATGCCATTACACCGCCGACTAAAGGGCCTATGCTTGGACCGAGGTTTGTCGCGATCATGGCAGGCCCTAACATGCTTCCTCGGGTTGCTGGCGTTGCTACATCAGCAATCACTCCGTACCCGATAGCTACCGTTGCGGAGCAGCCGAAACTCTGGAGACCACGCAGGACCATTAGGGCAGCATAATCCTGCTGGAGCGCAAGGCCCAAATTGGCGCAGACATATATAGCGAAAGTGATGAGGTACACGGGTCGTCGTCCGAGGTTGTCGGCCAAGTCTCCACAGAAAGCTGGCGCAATCGCTTGAACGATCAGGTATGTCGTGATGGTAAGGTTTATCAGGCTGGTACTGACGTGCACAGCGTGTTGCAGTTCCTCGAGGCATGGAAAGTATATGTTGGCTGTAAAGGGAGAGAAGAACATGCTGCACCCGATCAACCATGTGATCATGCGCCGCTCAGCTTTTGTAAATACTGTGTACGCAATGGCTGTTTCCGGCGCGGAAACTGCTGCCTTGATCTCGACATCTGTTGTGCTCAGCACGTCTTTATCTCTGGCAAGCACGTCATTGTTGAGCGAATGATCTCGCGAGCTTCGGTCTTGCTGGGTCTGCATTTCGTCGATCCGCGGGAGGCGATCAGGGCTATCGATTTTGGATGCTGCTGGGCGTCAACAAGGCAGTTTTCCGTATGCTGATGTGGGCTCTCTCGGCTCGTCTCCGCGTCGGTTTCAATCGTGATAGATGTTAGCAGACAGGCATGCCTCGCGTGGCGTCGCGTGCTGCAGCCAATCCTGTCCTGTCATGCAAGTTGTATGCACAGGCGGGCACCCCGCCATTTTGACGGTAGGTGGGGGCATCACGCGCCCTCCGTTGCAATGTCGCGTGTAGTCGTGCATTTTTGACAAACCTAAGGTGGTAGCAGATGAAGTTGGTAGTGGCTCGAGTTCGTGAGCAACACGTCGCTGCCCCCGGGCCCAGTTGGAGCCGAAGCTTATCCGCGCTAACCCAATTAGTTTCAGATGTCACTTTTACGCGACGTGCTTCTGGACGCGGGCGCTTTCATGACGGATTCTCATGAGCTTCGCCCTCGAACTCTAAGTCTTTCTACGAGTAACTCTAGTTGTGTACCTCAAAGGTTTAGTCATCCTGACTTCTTCCACGACAATTTCGACACTGGTAGAAAGCTTTACCACACTTGGTAACCTTTTTGATGCTACCCACACTTGTTTACACACACTTCTTAATACTCAGTGACGGTCACATGGCTGTCATAAGTGAGGGCTGAATTTCAAGTGGAAGCTGAGGAAAACTGCGGGCTTCTGTGCAAAGCTGAGATCACGATTTTCCTTCCCTGATTGCGCAGGGTATCATAGTATACTTCGGTAACACCCAGGCAATGGCCCTTTACCACAAGTGATAGTTCCTCCAACACTGATGACCACTGCACCTTACTTTTCAAAGCAAAAAAATTGGATATATGCATCTTTTACCAACTTTAGGTATGAACGCTCCAGATCACGCGTAGGTGTCTTCTGTATGGGTCCACGTCATAAATATACATACAGTACAGATGCTCTATACCTTCACCTCCTCTACCTTAGGCTTCTCAAACTCAGCCTTGCCATCTTTCACGGTGGCATACCGTATTGTGCCCGACGCATCTGTGTTGGGTATCGGTGCTTTTGTGCCTTCTCCTATTGACTTGATTTCCTCTTTGATCTTCCGCGTGGCGGCGTCTTCAACGGCGCCTGGTGGGCTATCCGCGATTTCATCGACGTTCCTCAGGGTAAGGACATCGCTGATTCGGGAAGCGCGGGACTGGATGAGCATGGTGGTTGGGCCTTCGAAACGGAGGAATAACTATGTGAATTAGCATTTGTGACAAGTCTTTTGTTAGGCTTGTAGCTTACCCTGTCGCCCCAGACTGTTCTCCGCAGCCATGTCTTGAGGGTGTAATATAAGGTTGCCAGAGCCCGCCATGTGGCTGTCTTGCTCATGGTTCGGAAGAACTTGGTATTCTGGACCATTGAGCCAAAGCCAAGGTCTGGCACTTGGAAGCGGAGATTCGACGACTTGAACCTGAAAGGGATTGGTGGGGTGTTGGAGGCTGTGTACGCTACGACGTTGCTGTTCTATCATTAGCACAAGCATACATGTGGACGTATCGTCTCAACATACCTGGGATGCGCAACATAGCTTTCGCCAGCCTTGACCTGGACCTGGTATATTTGCCCGTTTCCTGCAAGCGCAAGTAATCCTCTGCCAGTAATGTATGTGTTTCCCCAGTGTGCCAGCCCCAACTTTACATTGTACTGCGGCTTCAACTTGAGGGTGTGGCCAGTCCAGGCAAGCAATGCGTTTCTTTGGCTGACGATCCAGTCGTCTCTTCCGTCCATGTTGACCGAGACGATACTCGATATGGGTGCCTTTGTGGAGACGAGAGCTGTGACGGGGCTTGTCGAAGACACTTTCTGGTAGAGGAAGGGGATGCCGACGGGGGCCCTCTGGAGGGGCTCGAGGAAGGAGAGGGTTGATAGCGTGTTTTCCGACTTTCCGCTGAGGCCGACGAGTGTGCCGCGGCGGGTGTAGAGCGTCTGGGAGGCGGAGAGGGAGACGGAGAGGAGGGAGAACGGAGTGCCAATGACTTCGAATCGGGCGTCTGACGGTTCTTTTAGCCTTTGTACAATAAATGTAGTTATATTGAGTCTTCTTACCTGGTGTGTGCATGGGCGTCGCGGTGCCCTCAACACTGACTGCCTGCTGCAGCGCGGGCTCATTGGACGAGCTGGTGGCTGATATGTTGATGCATCGCGCAGCAACGGGCGTCCGCCGTATGGCAGCGGCGGATGTGGGCGAGATATTCCTCCAGGGCGAGGCAGCCGGTCGTAACATGGCTGTGCCGGGCGATTGGCGCGTGACGGGCGGCGAAGATGTTCTGGTGAAGCTCGGAGCAGCGATGATGCAAGAACGCCTCGCTTCAGCCCTGCCGCCCAAAACGCGCTAGACAACGTGGGATGCATGCGGCTGTCTAGGTACTCACAGCAAACACTCTCTTGCAATCTGGTCCTCCTCCGCCATTGAAGCTCTCCACAGCTTCTCTCTCCTGTGACAACCTTGGAACGGCTCAGAGACTAACATGTGACATCGCCATGTTAATCCAACCACTCGCCCGCGCCGCCAGTCGGCCGGGTCTTCGATCGTCCAGTTTGCGCCCGCATCCTCTACACCACGGCATTCGCGTATTCACCTGCTCTCCGCTACACAGAAAGGATGCGCACGGCCAGCGGCCAAAGCCCGGCTCTAATCCCGCCATCGAAGCCACCAAACCTGCCGCCGACCCCGCCGCGGCCAAAGTCGCAAAGACGGACCCATTGCTGCAGGAGCAGGTCCTGACCAACAAGGAGCAGCGCAAGGCTGACTGGGCCATTATGAAAGAGATGTCGGCATACCTGTGGCCAAAGGACAACATGGGCACGCGCTTCAGGGTCGGCATCAGTCTGGGCTTGCTGGTAGGCGCAAAGCTGCTGAACGTCCAAGTCCCCTTCTACTTCAAGAGCATTGTAGACGCCATGAACATAGACTTTGCGGCTGTTGGCGGCACAGCGACCACAGTGGCAGGCTCTATGATCATCGCATGTAAGCTAGACCCAACAATGCATCCCATGTCCACCCTGGCTGAGACTCCCTTCAGACGGAATGACTCGTATTGGCGCCACTGTTTCCCAAGAACTGCGCAATGCCGTCTTTGCCAGTGTCGCCCAGAAGGCTATTCGTAAAGTCGCTTGCAGTGTCTATGATCATTTGCTAAGGCTGGACCTGAGTTTCCATCTATCGAGACAAACAGGAGGCTTGACGCGCGCCATTGATCGCGGTACCAAGGGTATCAGCTTCTTATTGACTGCCATGGTCTTTCAT